TCCAGTACTGTTTTTAAACAAACATTACCCGACTTTACTGGCATTCACTACCATTGGTATATCCAATTTTTCATGCGGTATGGTTTATCTTTCAACGAGATTAAAATGCATGCTCATATCTTGATATGCCCCTGTCCTATTTACAGAGGTGAACGTGGATGGAGAAGTGAACAATCTAGGTGGTGAGTCCGTTTGTTACAGTTAAAGTTGTTGACCAACCAGGAGGAATCTAGCGAAGATAGACTGACACGTGACCTATTATATATTACAAATAAAGGACACAGTCATATGGTAGGGATTCAGATAGTCAATTTTTGAGTTGAAAAAATTTTAATAAAAAAACACGTCACCAAATACACTTCTTATAATGTGCCAGAGGCTAGATGCGTAAATGAGACAAATAGTTTTATTATATGTTACTGTATATAAATAGTTTTATTTTATTTTATTATATATTACTACTATTCGGAGTGGCTTGATGGCAGTCAGGATGACTGTTAAATATAGCCACAAAGCATTTAGACAATATAATAGAACATGTTATGTTAACTTTGACTTAATATCACATACCTGCACGCACATACACCTCGCGTATTTATGCCAGGCCAATAAGATATTTTAGACTGGTGAAACTAAAAGAATGAATGATGTAAATGCTAAAATATATTTACCCTTCGTTTTTCATTTTCAGTATGGTTCCAGAACCCTGTGTACATCTTAGTCATCTGTGTTGGCGCTGTAGCCATCTTTATAGCTACTGTGGTACTGGTGATCCGCTTCACTTCAAAGGTAACGTAGCTGTCACAGAATCTAGAGGTAGATTACAACACACATAACAACAATAACTTTTTTACCGGAATAAAATGACATTAGTCCTGTGAGAAGTTAAACTTGAACTAGTTAACAGTGTTCATAATATATTTAACCTCTAACAATTTTATGCTTTCAACGTAATTCCATACAATATTTAGTTCTTCGCGGTAGTTTCCTTTGTTCATATGATACCAACTGCAAAATAATGTTAGCCGCACAAAATTATATATTAGAAACAAAAAGATTCTAACTGTATGTGTCTTCTGGGATGGGAGGATTGTTACCCGCGCGAGGTCTCATGTATTTTCAAATGTCTTGTAAAATATTTTTCTTTCATTGTAAAAGTGGCTGCGAGAATATAAGTTGTACCTAACTTGAGTTCGCAGTCACTTAGTCCATGTCTTTTCATTTGTAATTCTCATTGTGGTTCTGAATAAATAATAAAAAAATTATGCTGAGTGACATCACATTTTTACTGTAAAATCTTCAGTTGCTATTACCAAACATTGTCTGCCATATAAAGTAACTGTGTGACAGATGTAGAATCGGATGAATAACAAACTGTCTCACTTTCCTGACATTAACAGGCACGCGCACGTCGTCGTAAGTACGCATTGCCTGGTCAGAATCAGCGGCTATCTGAGAATGCACAGCGATACACGCTGGACCCACAAGCATCGGTCTACCAAGAACCCGGAAGACAGATGTACCAGAACCCAGTGTACAACATCGGCGATGAATGAGGAAGATGGAATCAATGGAAACTAATGAGTGCAATAATAATAGAATGTCGTATCTGTTGACGTGAGCTTGAATTGATAATTAGTTTGAATTTCAATGATAAAGTTTTTATGATTGTAATTAAAACGTTAGTGTATTATATATAACGACATAAGGACCGCTTTTAACTATCCCAAATTTGCATTTTAAAAAACAATTTTGCGTTTTTGTAGTCATTGCTTTAAGAATATCAACTATGAAAATGTAACAATCTGACCAGTTTAGAATGTATGTGTTATGTTTAGTTTTCCTTGTAATTGTGAGTTGAAGGTAACGTTTGGTTTAACAAATATTATCAATAGTTTGAAGTGATGCTTGCAAACTTTCTATGCAGATCAAACATTCGTGGCTGTTGATAAAGAATGTAAATAGACTGTAAGTACTGTATTGTGCTGAATCTATAACCATAGATTATCATGATGGACTAACAACCTTGAACATGAAATGTAGTGACCGAGGATCTAGAATATACCTATCTACAGTAACTTCATGTTTCAGTGTAGAATAAGAATCTCAATTTGGTTGGTCAAGCAATGTGATATCGATTTAATAGTAAACACATGTAAATTGCTGTAACATTAATAAACCAGGTATTTGGGTATATCATTTGTACAGGTTTATTTGGCTTATGTTGAAATTGGCGTTAAAGAACCAGTAATACTATATAACGGCCCTGCCCTACCGATATAAATTCGATAAGTTAACATAAACTAACAGACTTCAGCCTTAACAGCTCGCTAACTTTTTATCTACAGCTCGCTAACTTTTTATCTACAGCTCGCTAACTTTTTATCTACAGCTCGCTAACTTTTTATCTACAGCTCGGCTAACTTTTTATCTACAGCTCGCTAACTTTTTATCTACAGCTCGCAACTTTTTATCTACAGCTTGCAACTTTTTATCTACAGCTCGCAACTTTTTATCTACAGCTCGCAACTTTTTATCTACAGCTCGCTAACTTTTTATCTACAGCTCGCTAACTTTTTATCTACAGCTCGCTAACTTTTTATCTACAGCTCGCTAACTTTTTATCTACAGCTTGCTAACTTTTTATCAACAGCTCGCTAACTTTTTATCAACAGCTTGCTAACTTTTTATCTACAGCTCGCTAACTTTTTATCTACAGCTCGCTAACTTTTTTANCTAACAGCTCGCTAACTTTTTATCTACAGCTCGCTAACTTTTTATCTACAGCTCGCTAACTTTTTATCTACAGCTCGCTTTTTATCTACAGCTCGCTTTTTATCTACAGCTCGCTAACTTTTTATCTACAGCTCGCTAATATTTTTTAT